AAACGGCTGAACTCGATTGTTTTATCAAAATATGAGTCTTACATAAGAACAAATTCACAGCGAGTTTCACTAAAATACATCGTACCATTCTCCCGATATTTCAAAAAATATAATTTTTTTGAAGAACTTTGACCATCAATAGCAGATGAGCCAGACATTTTTTGTTAATAAAAGTTTACTCTGTATAGAAAAATCGTTCTGACATGATTTAGTATGAACATATAAAATGTACCTTACTGTTGTTCAGCACAATTCGCACCAATCAAACTTTTAATGCTACATGCGCCGCAGATTGCATAGACAACTCAATTGTGCGCATTTTATCGGTTTTTTAATACATAAGCCAACAATAAAGTGGAAATTAATTTGTCACAATGATTTGGCTGATCGAACTGGGAATGAACCGAATTGCAAATGGTAAACGTGGTTTTTCTGGTGGCTGTGATGGTGATGCTCGGAGTGCCATTGGTGCAAAAGGAAGAAGACATGAGGAAAAACTTGGAACCTGGTGAGAAAATTATTAGGAATCATTTTGCAACGTTAAGAAAGCCTAATCAACTTGTTTACAAAACTGCTCTCTTTCAGATGTTAGGAACGAACAGTCCTCGACAGTCGGTTTCGACTCAATTCTAGGTAAGAGACTGCGAATGTTTCTGTCACCCATTTACGACTTTGTATGCTGTTCTAGAATCCTTCTGGCCTGCTGACGAGAAAGAAACTACAGGCTACCTAAAATGTGCGTAAACTCCAGTCGCGTCCCAAATGGGTTAAAAAATGTTAATTAAACATTTCGTTTTCAGCCACCATCAAGCGAACAAAGAAGTATATGTGCTATGTGAATGAGGCCGTAAATCAGAACATGGACTGCGCGCTTCAGTGTCTTAAATACTTGTATGCATGTGAAAATATATAAATTTAATTTCGCGACTTTCATCAACTCACACATTTAATTGCAGTTTCACAAGTTTGGATAGAGAAAAATAGGCCAAAGTTCATGTAGCGAGGGATTTAAAGCGTGCGCAAAAAACGGCCACATTAACGAACTCCGAACATACAGGAGCGTCACCAAAGGGATTCATTATCTCGGAAAACCTCAACTGTCTATTCAATTGCTACCTTGAACTGGTCAGTGGAATCGGATATAAATTGCCTTATACATATGAAAACCATTCCTCAACTTATAACGAGGGATACATTAACATATTTTGGGATTTCTTCCCAAAAATTAGGCTTGGGCTTCAGGAATGTTCGCTTAGAGGTTATCGATTTAATAAACTCGCCGTGCACGCCCCGATAATATTCCTCGACAGATCACCTAGGGTTTCTTTAATAAAAATCACCTGAAAGGGAAGCCCGACTAAAAATATCGCACCAAGAACGCGTTGAAATTTCATCTGCCCCCCAAATTAAAATCCTGATTTTACCGCGGATTTCTGATAAATCAATAAGAGTCTCGAGCTAACAAATTATACTTCATTTATTTTTCCTCGATAACAAACCTTATACACTAATCTAATTAGTGATCACAAGTTAAGTAGCTGTAGAATAGTCGATATGACCCGGTCCCCACGATCATTGTGCCGCAAGTTCAACAGGGGATCCTTGATCTTCTCTTCCAGCAAATTGTATAACTCCGTTCTGATCATTTTGATCATTTCCGCTGTCTGAAATGGCCGGAACTGGCACTAGTAGCAACTTTAATTGCATGCTTCTTACCTTGTGCTCTTCGACTTGAAACAAAATCCACCCATCTTCCAAAGTTAGAAACGTGCTTCCATTTTGCACGATAATCTCTAGGTCTCCGGAGAACAACACCAGAGGAATTACGGGCACCATAGTACAATCCCTAAAGAATATTTTGCTAGTTCGCACTTTTTCCTGGTAGACCAAGTATGCACTAGGAAAGCTATTGATTGTGTAATTCACTGAACTTGGATGCATAAAAACCTAAATGAACAGACATCATTGTTAGTTTTCCACTAGGTAAATCATTTGCAACTTCTCACCATTTCCTTGGGGGTGGCAAATTTAATATCCTTGGCTTCATTCTGCTTTGGGACCGCCCCAACCGCACTYTGAATGTACGTTTTGGATGGAGTGAGCACCTTTACAATGTTCGGATATAGAGCTGCACACAAAATCGATGACAGTAATCGAAAGTTTTCCCCATTMGCATTGAACTATGAAAAACCATTGATTGTTGCGCATTAGAGGGGTTGCMGAAGTAAGTTTCCGTAACTGTGCCTACCTCTGAGCCGGTGATGTCTTGCACGAGGTCTTTGCCAGTTCTTCGCTTATTGCGGCTCAAATCAACAGACACGAACCCAATATCAACCAACAGTTCCAGGAACTGATACTTTATGTCGGCTATCGTAAACAGAGCTCTGTGGGAAAGGTAGTTTTCGTTTGCAAAGTTCCGCGCTGCGGCAGGACTCTTTTTGCACATCTCCAAAAATTTCTAAAATTCACCGTCAACATTTGATCTGAATATGAAGAACTTGCTTTGTAACAATAAATTACAGTAAGTACGTTCTGCAACAGTCTGCTATTTTCACACTAAATATATTCATAAGCTGCAGTCAAATTTCCGAATAAGTCACAATACTCACCTTATAAGCGATCAGAACAGTAATATGATCGCTAAAGTGGGCTGAAAACGTCATTTTCTTCTTGTGGGCTTCATCTCGTTTGCCAAATGGAGAAACAAACGGATTTTTGTGGCTGAGGCAAGCAGCAATTGTGAGAGCTGCATCCACACAGCCAAACATCGCGCCATAAAGCATCAGTTTACCAATCCTCACATCGACAGGCAATGAGGCTAAATGGTGTCCCAGAGGGGTGAGATTGTCTGCTTTGTCAATAGCGCCAACACTTTGCAATCGTCCTATGGCTGACGTGATATTTTCTGGGATTGGTGGTTCGATAAACGACCCTGAGAGTACAACAGAAACATTGCAAATGCTATGGACATTTAGGTAAAGTCCTACCTAAAACCTCATTGACGTCCCGTTCACAGAGTCCAGGCAACACTTTGATATTTAATACAAGTTGTTCGAGAGGAATTCGGTGTATTTCCGGTATAGGTTGCGGCAAAAAATGGTTCATAAATCGGTGTCTTGTATACAAATGGATACAGACTCCGGGCATCACGCGACCAGCGCGTCCTTTACGTTGCAATCCATTGGCCTGCGTAACCCAAACGGTTTCCAAACTTTCCATATTTCGATTTGAGTCGAAATGCTTTTCTTTCATCTTTCCAGAATCGATCACAAACACGCAATCATCAATGGTCACTGAGGTCTCAGCCAAATTGGTCGAGATGACGATTTTACGTTCGCCGTTTTTCGGTTTGCTGAAAATCGCCGCCTGTTCTTCGCTGGTTAGGGAGGAATGTAATGGCAGCACAATGTATTTGCGGCGTCTCCGACCGAACTCCTCATGCACCACCAACTGGTCGTAAAGGGAAGTGATTTCTCCTATACCAGGCAGAAACACGAGAATGGTGCCTGATTTTGGGTAATCATGACTGCCATTAACGATCCACATCAAGATCGTCTCTATCAGGTCGTTGTTTATTTTGTCCGAATCCATTAAAAAGAGAGTTTTGCACGTTTTGGGGCTGAAATCTTCAAAACGGACACATGAAAGTAAGTCAAGCAATGACTCTCAATGTTCAATGTTCAATAAACCAGCTGAAGAAGCTCAGAGGATAAATTGTAGCTCAAACATTAGTTTAGGTGCGGAGGCATATGAAGCATTGCGCGAAAGTCTCATTTCATACTAGAGCAAAGAACCGTTGTATGAAATACAGGGAAATTAAACAACTTACCCTCGTATCTTGCCATCATTTGTTGCACTGTTAAGTTTTCATCCCTGATATTGTCTCGGGGTTTGATCACAGTCAATTCGTTGCCCGCCATCACTGCATCAATGTACTCAGAGTCGTTTTTCATTTTCCTGCAATACTCTGAACCGTCCTCCAGTATGTACCCGGTCGCTTCTAAGATATCTTCCAAGTAGTACTGTTCGACAGGGAATGTCCGGCCTGGTATGTTAATGACGGGAATATCACCAAAATATTCCGAGAATAACACTGCGTTTAACGTGGCGCTCATGAGGATCACCTTAAGGTCCGAGCGGAGTGGTAACAAATCTTTGAGGATGAGCAGAAGAAAATCGCTTTAACCAAAAAGATCATATAAATTCACAAAACTTCATAGTTGACCATGTAGGACGCTACCTTTCATCACTTCTTTCATGGACTTCATCTACAATGATATGCGTCACATTGGGCAGTGTAGGCTCGCTCTCCAGTCGTCTCAACAAAATTCCCGTAGTACAAAAGGTCAACCTTGTCCGCGATGAAACTTTGCTTTCCAGCCTTATTTGGTAACCGACTGTGCTTCCAGCGTTCTCTAATCGCTCGTTTGCCACCCTGAATAATAATAAGCATTAACAAACCGTAAAGAAAACATTTCCACATGCATACCGACCTCTCAGCCACACCGATGGCTGATATTCGCCTGGGCTGCGTGCACACTATTTCCAAATGTTTCTGATTATAGTTGGAAATCCAGTCGTCAAGGATGAACTGGGGCACTTGAGTGCTTTTGCCGCATCCAGTCTCACCGCTTATGACCACCACTTGCGACTGCTGGATGAAATTCAAAATATCGTTCCTCAACGTCCAAGCAGGAAGCTTTTTCCTGGCCCCCAACATTTCACCGTACTTGCTACTCAGCTTTTTCTCACTGAAGTCTCTGATGATTCGTTCGTCTTCCTTGGCAATTTCATCTATAGTAAGGCGTCGTTTATTGTCCTTGCTGGTAGCCCCTTTGCGGTAGTGCGTGGGACGTGATTTGAAGCTCTTTACAATTATTTCACTGGAAAATAGCTTTTGCTTGGGATGTAAAAATTCCACATCTGTCTTCAGATGTTCCTTAATAATGTCCTCGTTATTTAACAATTCCGTAACTCCGTAAACGCAGGGAATACCATCTAGAGCCAAATATTGAGCTTCCTGGTGCAGTCGTTTACAAATATGCAAAGACATAAGCGGAGGCATACAAACGTTAGATTTTAGAAAAATCATCGGAGGCTCATACGGATAATTGGAACTTTTCTGAAAGCGAAACTCCAGTTCGAAGCAATGCTGTTCTAGGTGCGCATTGTCGTCATTTTCAACCACGTCCACTTCATGAGAAAATCGACATTTGGACCCGAACCTACACGTACCCCCCTTTAGAAAATTTTTGCATTTTTCTTTAGCCTTCTTCGGAACCGGCTTCCGAGTCGGCTTCTTATTATGGAAGAGGTTGAACAGATATTCTACTTTCATGCTCACTGTCCAAACATCTTCGACTTTTTCTTTAAACTGCGTTTCATAAATGGATTCTAGCGAACTCTTTTCGTCTGCCCGCATGTCCAGAAGCTCTGACTGTGTTAACCCATGTTCTACCATACTTTTGTCTTCAATTTTTAGGTATTTTGAGTAGAGAAGGTAGAGGGCATCCTCTATAGAGTTGTTACAGTATTTAAACGCTTCTATGCAGTGGTTTTCATGGAATCCATAACTAAATTAGTCAACAATTTAATCCAGTTTGAAAACACGCAACTGTTCTTAAATCAATTAAGTGATAAACGTTACCTTTGTAGCCTCATCAAAGCGAACAGTTTCAATCTTTCTTCTTCCTCCAAAGGGGCATCTTTGCTTTGTGAATAATCACAACCTCCTCTGACCACCAAGGAGCCCTGCCCAACCCAATATTTTTTCAGAACATTCGAATTTGTGTCTTTGTAGTCAGCTATACTGTTCAATTTAAATTCCTGAAAGTATTTGGCGTTTAGGGAGCACAAAATTGGAATTATTGAAAATTCTTACGGGTCCATGAAGGTACTTTAATGTCTCCAATATTTGTTCTTCGATGGGGTCAGTCAGTCTGAGGAATTGAAGTTCTTGTTTAACATTCATTAGTTTTGGAGGTTCCTTTATGGCGCTGGAAAACAGGTATATATATATATATCCAAAATTAGGTTTTAAAAATTATATCAGCAAATGTAGAATTGCTCCAAACTTACGAAACTCGTGCTGTCACCGGTTGCCTGAGTAACAAATCGGCGTTGTTGATCACCTGTTCACAGTTCATCCTATGATTTTTCTATCCTCACAGACTTTTCCAATATAATTTAATTTAATTTTTAACAAATCCAAAGGAACACTAAAACACATCACATAAATGAGCAGGAATGAGGTTAAATACATTTATTAAGCGGTTATGTTGTTTTAGTGTGTCGCATTCTTCTCTCATGACTAGCGGTTCCCAGTTATACAAAATGCGCGAATCTTGACAGCTCCGGTCCCGGCGAATGGCGCTTAGTTTGAAAATTTACATTTAGGGCCGTGAAATTTTTTTGTCAAACCAATTGAAAGAGCAAGTTTAAATAAATTGCTATAGGTTTCCTAAATAGTAGTGGTAAGAGAGGTTTTAAAGTCCGGGCCAATTTGTTTGCTGCAAGACTTCCCAAAATGTGTTTATGGTTTTAAATGGATAAGAAAAATGAAAAAAGATTTAAAACATTTTGGTGTTGCTTTTGACAAAGAAAGATTTTTTGAGTACCTAATAAAGGTAACCTAAATAAGGTAATCTAGGTAGACGTAAATTTTCAAACTGCTCGACATTTATCGGGGCCAGAGCTGTCAAGATCCGCGCATAAGAAAATATCTGGGCTACCACTAGACGCTACTTAAGTCAGTGTCAGTACAACGTCAGTACGGCAAACTACATAGATTCTTTGTTGTGTTGTGACATTTTTGTTTTTAATTTTAATTTTGCTTTCTAAGCGTTCGTTCCAATTGTATAGTGTCACTAGTTCTGTGCACTAGTGTCAGAGACAAGACTTGTCTCTGCTAGTGTGTTTATATGCCCAGTTTGACTGTGATTATTTACATGTTATACACTAAGCTTTACCAGTGGGTTCAGCAGAAATGTTTGGCACAACAGTATAGTTACTTGGTAAGCAGATGTGCCCCATCGAAATGTTTACACATTCATTTAGAATATTTTTGTGATTAAATGGAGCGACATGAGCCAGGTTAATACGTTGATTAATTTCTTTGGTCGTATCTCATCAACGTCTAAGCAGAGCACTGCGAATGATACAAACTCTCTGAATTAATGGAATTATGGGACGCTAATTGGGTCTTGACATTCATTACTTTGCATGCTCTCGATATATGCTTTAAGTGCAACAACCTAAATGGGAGGAATTGAACGTGATTGACTCAGTCGAGGTTATAATTAGATGTAACATTTCCTCATTAAAGTGTAATCCACAGTTTACCAATCATCGCGCAACCACGGCTGTTAGTTTGCATTAAATCAGGGATCAGGGATTTCGTTTGCCAAGTTAAAAATCGGCAATATGTTATGGAGAGTAGATTTGTGAACTTGAGACTGCATATCTGAATTTTATCAGTACCAACTAATCGCCATACAGCAACGACAAATAACAGAATTATCCCCTAAACAATGCATCGAAACACCATGGAATGCTTACAGGACATTACTTATCAACAATTGCTCAAACAAAGGGAATTATTGAAAAGTTTAAACAATTACATGATTAATAGTTGACAATCAGTTATAATTTATTTGATGACAACTTAGTCAGTTGAAATATCCATTGAGACATGTTTAATACCAGGCTAAAATATGAAACCCGCATGCACGCATTTGATTATAACGACAACTAGATGTAAATAGAAAGCCAAACCCTCAGGAGTGTTATTTCACTACATTTAGAGACTGTTTTTACGATAACAGATCAGATTTAACAACAAACAACTTTCTGGTGGAAATTGCGTATGATATTCTATGTCCAAAACACACATTTAACACCTAAAAAAAAAAAATGTGTTCCGTTTAAATCTATGGGTTTGCAGTGTTCTTTATCGACAAAGTTTGGAAACTCGGCCACTACACCCCCGATATGGCGGCTAATACGATGGTTATCATATGAGTGGTGTGGGATTTACTGTTAATTAAAATTGAAAGACAATTAAATGCATCAATCAACTATGTTGTATGTAGGTATTTAATTGTTATCGAAATGCGATTGATTTATCAATTGTTCTTTCAAGGAGGAGATTTTTATTTTGATAGTGCAGTTTTATCTGAAGTGGAAAACCATTTTTTTTAGAACTCTTATATTGTTGGTGGGAAATCAACAACATGCGCTGATGTTTGATTTTAATTTCATATAATATTTCAGTGTCTAATCTTGATAATGCATGCTTTCTATGATATTAACGTGGCATTTGAATATAAAATATTAGCCAGTTCCGTACTTGACGTACCTGCATTTAGTAACACGAAATTTCGTCTACCGCAGCTATTTTATATTTGCTTCGATGTAGTTATTTCGGGAATATGCATTACCCGTCAATGCAACTGTATATCTGCAACTCAGTATTTGTGCTTCAGTTCCTGAGAACAATTAAACAGCTGACAACAATTAAACGCAATCGGTAATCGAATAGTTAATCGATATTTACTGGTAATGTTTTATAAGGTACACAGTTTACGTGATTGTTCCCCCAAGGACTATTAATACATTCGCTAAGGTTTTCTAAAAACTTTTTCAACTACTGCAATTCATTTATCGTTATTTATACGATCGATTTTCCCGCTAGGTGCCTTAAATTTAAATATTCAATTAAGAAAATTAAATGTTGTTTAACAAGGCGATGGCTAACCATCGCTCCGCGACCTACTAACAAATCGTATTTTAACGCAATTTTGGTTTAATGGTAGTGTTTTAAAACGATTTCCCAACGTTAGTGCAACGACCATCCAATGGTCGGTAATATAATAAGGGTTGATTATTAATTAATTAGCGTATCATAATGTTATCGATTTGACGGAGGCCTGGGAAAATATTGTCAATAATGTTATAGTCTAAAGTTGAGAAAACGCTGCTTCACATGTGTGCTATTTGGTCTTTAGTATACATCTATGATTAAGCTTTTGTTCGGTTTGTGCAGATGTGGAAATTACTGTAAACCAGTCGGCCGCACTTGAATGAAGTGAGATCATCAGTTCAGTTCAATCAACAATGTTCTTGTCGCTGATCCTGATTGCTGCCAGTTTTTGTGGAACATTTGCGCATCTGGAGGGACCAAACGTGTGCATCAGGCAGGAAACGTGAGTCAACTAAGCTAGCTAGTAGTTCATCGGCCATCGCTCAGATAGCTTGGATTGTTCAGGAATTGTTTCTGTTTTTTTTTACTTTTTTACTGTTATCTTAAGTTGGGTTGAATATTATTTGTTACTCGAGTTTTTGAGTGAGTCATTCGTAAATATTTTGCCATTTGCTGTTTGCAATGGGCTCACTCAGCTCTTATTTACATTTTGGAAGTGAGACATTTTAACTAAGAGGCAGTTTGTCTCTTAATTATCCTCATATTTGCTAGCTGCCATTGTTTTTTCCAAAAAAATCACATGAAAGTAACCATTTGATGCCACGTTTAACGCGTAAATCCGCTCCAAGGAACTTGTCCCAGTCCGCCTTGTAAGTGGAGTATTCCATGCAGGAAAAGGAAGTGAGACTAAGCGCCAAATGCGACCTTGTGCATGAGTATGACTTTTAATCTGGTCGCATTGATTCAAGTACAATGGATTTGCGATGATTCAATGCAAAAACTTTAAGACAACAACGAAGGATGAACCATAATATGATGTGTATGGATTTTTATTGTAAACCGCATAGCGGCTCAAATTGACGTTGTAAAAAATGTTTTAGATTACATCTTCATTCCTTTGCTTCTTATTGGCCGCAGATGCGTCTTTATAGTTTAATATATTGTGAGGCCACTCGCGTAATGAGAGTACCTGATGAGAGTAATGAGAGGGAGATCACAACCTGTGAAAAATACTTCTGTCGGGCGGTACAAATTACTGCTACGTTTACAATATCCATAATTTACAGGGTGATTTACAACATTATGGACACAGAGTAGGGGCGTGTAGAGGACCTCAAAACAAATCGAGTTTCCTTTTTTTTCTTTTTTCTAGAGGCATACCCCCTTTTACCCCCCGAACTTTTTTGTGGTGCGCCACTGACTTCGACCGAACGAATTTTTGAATTTGCTGTTCAATTTAAGAATTTTCTGATTTCTTGCAGTTTTTTGGTAGCTGTCTTCGTTTTCGAGTTATTTGCACAAATGTAAGTCGATGTAGGGTTTCTGGGTGATTTTCCATGAATTTTCTTATAATTTTTTTGCGTCCTTTTGTTCACATTTTTTTGTGAAAGAAATTAATTTCATAATAAATTTAAATATTCCTTACATTTTTGTTTATTTTTATTTGGATTAGCTTACAGCCGATAACCTCAATTATTGTAAATAAAATTATAAATTTTAAAGTTAACCATTTAAAGTAAGCCATTCCTATTTTAAGTTCAACTGGCACTTGAAGCTTTCACAGAAAAATGTGAACAAAGGGACAGATAAAAATATATTAAAAAAATTCATAGAAAGTCACCCAGAAACCCTACATGGACTTATATTTGTACAAATAACTCGAAAACGAAGAGAGATACGAAAAAACTGCAAGAGATCAGCAAATTCTTAAATTAAACAACAAATGCAAAAATGTGTTGGGTCGAAGTCAGCGGCGTACCACAGAAAAGTTCGGGGGGGTAAAATGGATTACGCCTCTAGAAAAATGAACACCCTGTAGATTTTTCACAACCAGTCGCCTTACCTACGGGTAAATGGTCTAAACGTTAGCCTAGCGAATTTTTGTGAAACTTTAACACCTTGTATCATGGAAACTCTGTTATAGCTTATTGTATTACCGCTCACCATTTGCTGCGGGCTTTGTTCACATATTATGGAAATCCCGAGAAATACTTATTATTATTTAGGTACACGGTAAAAGCTCGCATATCCGAAGAACAACCGTACCAGGTGAGAGAGTTCGTGTGGTGCCTAAATGTGCCCCCTCGATGTTCCAAGTACAAGATCAAGCACAAGACAGTGCACAAGGACCAGAATTTGGTGCGAACCAGGCCGGTCGAAGAATGCTGCAAAGGGTATGCTAAAAATGCTGCTGAAAATCAATGTATTCCCGTATGCTCCAACGTGTGCTTGCACGGGACATGTGTCGCCCCGGAAACGTGCCAGTGCGAAACAGGATATGGAGGACCGAATTGCGACATTAGTAAGTGTGGTTTTATTAATACTTAAGAACACTGAATCATCGCTACATTCACTGCAAAATCGGCTTTTAGCTTGTGACAAAGGCTTATGGGGTCGAGAGTGTCAGAACGAATGCGAATGCCAAAATAATGCCACTTGCGACCCTTTCAACGGCCACTGCTCCTGTAACCGCGGCTGGATTGGTGAATTTTGCCAAAAACGATGCCCCAGCGGTACCTATGGACAGGACTGCCTGGAAGAATGCCGGTGTGAGAACGGAGAATGCGATCACATATCGGGCAAATGCAAATGCCACTCAGGCTACACGGGACCCTTGTAAGTAGTCTAGTTTGCATTGAACACTGGGGGGCTGATTAATTTATATTGGCAATTTCAGATGCGATGATCCTTGCCCAATCGGCACTCATGGCTATGACTGCAAGTCTAAATGTCCATGCCAGAACGGCGGGACTTGCCACTCGGTGACCGGCGTCTGTTTCTGCAAGGATGGCTGGACGGGACAAGTGTGCGCAAATCGTTGTCCTTTCGGCTTCTGGGGCTACAACTGCAGTCAAAAGTGCGACTGTTACAACGGAGCGTCTTGTCATCACATTAACGGCACGTGCGAATGCCAGCCCGGATTCACTGGCGACAGGGTAAGAGTAACAGGCCGTTGCAGTGATCGTAGCTATTGGTGACTTTTTTGTCAGTGTTTGGACGTCTGTCCTGATGGTAAATGGGGCAAGGATTGCACTAATAACTGTACGTGCCAGAATGACGCCAAATGTTCGAACAAAGATGGATCGTGTAGTTGCGCGAAGGGCTGGACTGGGAAAACTTGCAACGAGAGATCATGTCCCAAGGGACTTTGGGGCTTCAAGTGTCAGAACTCTTGTCAATGCAACTCCGACAACACTGAACTGTGAGCTAATTAGTTTTATTCTTCATCAATCAGCTAAACAGGCGCATTGTGCCTTTTTCAGGTGCCACGCTTGGACTGGAGAGTGCGACTGCAAACCGGGCTGGAACAGTAAGGACTGCACTCGGCCATGTCCCATTTTGAGCTTCGGGAAAGCTTGTGCTGGGACATGTAAGTGTGACAATAACGCCCAATGCTCCCCCATTAACGGCACGTGCTTGTGCGGGCCAGGATTTACCGGCAAGCAATGCGAACAACCCTGCCCGTTGGACAGTTTTGGGATGGATTGCGCTCAAAAATGCGATTGTACGTTCGATGAAATCAATACGAAGTTTCAGTTATTGAGTCGCATCTTTAGGTAAGAACGGGGCTACGTGTTCGACAGAAACCGGTCAGTGCCACTGTCCGGCAGGCTGGGAGGGCCAACAGTGCGACCGGCCATGCAGTAATAATCAATTTGGAATGCAATGCAAAAACAAGTGCGACTGCCGGAATGGAGCTTCTTGTAATCCCGTAAACGGTTAGTGCTATACATTCATCAATCAATCAAATGGTGTCTAATGCACACTTGACCCATTAAATAGTGCACCCTATAGATAGTGTGAAATTTTTTCATTCGGTCGAAAAAAGGTCAATTCTCAAAAAAAAACCTCTCTAAGGCTCTTAAAATGCCTCAAACTCTACATCATTTTCATCGGAACGAAGCGAAGAATGCAATGAGCTCATTAAAGAACACGGTAGGATATTCAGATCCAAAATTCTTGTGATTTCCTGTCGTTTTTGAGCAGTCATCACTTTTAACTGGCGATATTTTTTATATTATAGACCCAAAAACTCTACTATAATGTATATTGGGGAGTTTCTTACGTCGAAAACAATCCAATAGGCGTAAAAAAAACCCATCAATGTTCCCGTTTAGTGTGTATTAAATAGGCCTGGGTAACACTGTGTTGAGTTGTTGCCGCTCTCTGAGTAAATGCGTTATAACTAATCGGTGAATGAGTCATAACTCATTTATTAAAGAGGATTAAAGCTGTACGAAACCCTAGACTGGAATTTTAACATTCGGAATATTCTTTTTCCAGCAACGGAACTGAGTTACTTAGTACCAAGCCAATTGAGCAGCACTGCTCTAACACCTGAGTTATCTTTTCTGTAGAAACGATTGCTTAAAATTGCGGTTTTTCTGGTTGTTGGTCTAAAACGAGAAACGGAAATTTTGAAGAAACTTTAGAGTGTTTYAGAGCGACGAGATTTTCAATGAGTTTTCCCAATAGTAGATCTTTTTGCTTTCTCTGATCGTTTTTTTGGATAACTAATTTTTTTGAGAAAAAAAAACAAGAGAACGTTGTTTGCCACAGTTTAGAAAGGGTTTTGTTTAGAAATACTGATCTAAAAGTGAAGAAACCGGAATTAAAAATAACTAAATTATTCACAGCGACAAAGTTAGTATTATAAAGTTTCGCTTGTTCTATTCGGGAAAATATTTTGGGGGAAAACGCAGAAAAAATTATTGGAGTTTTGWCCAAAATTCTAAATTCAAAAAGCTACAAAAGTTTTAAAAAAATCTTCACAAAGCGGTTATGRTGGGGAGTGTTCCAATAGAATGAATTTGATAATTTTTCACATAAAATACCTGAATATTKTCCGCGTTTGAGTGTTGAGGAAGAAAAACTTTGCTAAAACTGGAAAAACCTGAAATTTTAAATAAAATCGAAAAATAAACTTTAAAATTCTTCAGAGCGATGAGAGTAGCGAATTTTCCAAATAATTTTTTGTAAATTTTTGCTCTCTGGAGGTAATTTTTTTAAGATATTCTCAATTACTTTGGGTAAAAATCTAAATAACATTATTTGATTTTTGTGCCTCAAGCTCAAAAGGACTTAAAATTTCCTGCAAAGCGATGCATGAGGTCAATTTTCTAACAAAATCAATTGTGTCGTTTTTGGCTGAAAAGACCGCATGGTTGACGGAAAATAAGAAAATCAGAAAATAATGGATTTATTGCGCTTTCGATTTAAAACTTTTAGTTTTGTGATCGGTTTTTCAGAAAACCTTAATAAACCCTTTCCGGAAAAAATGGGAAAACTTATTTTCGTTTTTGTCTCGAATTCGACGCTGAAAACGGTTTTTGTAAAATTCCTTCAGCTATAAATTTATCTTGTAATTTTTCGCGTAAAATACCTCCAGATTGTCAGTATTTTTAAGTGAAACTCTATAAAATATAGCGTTTTTGAATATAAAATAAAGCAAAAAAAATTTAATCAAAACTAAAAATCAACAGTTTTTAAACCAACTCTACAGTCTTCACTGGGATGGGGGTGATGAGTTTTTATAAACTTTCTGTTATATTCTGTATGTGTTTATTCTGTTTTCTTTTCAATAAAAAATTAGTTAATTTTTGTCATAACTTTGAAGCTGGAAAATGATTTCAATACTTTTTACGAAACGACGAAGGAGGCGAGAGCTGTAATAAAATTTATTTTAAAATTTTTCGCGGCAAATATCCTTAGGTTGTCAGTACTTTTACGTGAAACATTAGAAAAATTAGCGATTAGAAGAAACAGTAACTTTGCTAAAGCGGAAAAATTCTAAAATTTTGAAGAAACTGAACATTTTGTTTTTAATTTTTTTAAGATAATCTTAATTACTTTAGGAAAAAACCAAATACAATTATTTGGTTTTTGTGCCGAATTTGAAGCTCAAAAGGGCTTTCTAAAATATCCTGCAAAGCGATGCATGATGCCAATTTTCTATCAAAATTAATTGGTTGAAAAATCAAAGTTAATTGGTCATTTTTGGTTGAAAAAATCCCATGGTTGCCGGAAAAAAAGTAAAGTATCAGAAAATAATGGATTTTTTGCGCTTTTGATTTAAAACTTTTAGTTTTGTGATCGGTTTTTCAGAAAACCTTAATAATTTTTCGCAAAAAATGGGAAAACCTATTTTCGTTTTTGTCCCGAATTCGACGCTGAGAAAGGTTTTTGTAAAATTCTTTCAGCTATAAATTTATCTTGTAATTTTTCGCGTAAAGTATCTCCGGATTGTCACTATTTTTAAGTGAAACTATAAAATAGAGCGTATAACTATAAAGTAAAGCAAAAAAGAATGCAATCAAAACTAAAAATCCGCAGTTTTTAAACCAACTCTACAGGCTTCAGAGGGATGGGGGTGATGAGTTTTTACAAACTTTCTGTTATATTCTGTATGTCTTTATTCTGTTCTCTTTTTAATAAAAAAATAGTTGATTTTTGTCCTAAATTTGAAGCTGGAATACGAAATAAAACTTACGAAACGACGAAGGAGGCGAGTGCCGTAATAAAATTTGTTTTAAAATTTTTCGCGGCAAATATCCTTAGATTGTCAGTATTTTTACTTGAGACGTTAGAAAAATGAGCGATTAGAAGAAACAGTAACTTTGCTAAAACTGGAAAATTCTGAAATTTTGAAAAAAACTGAAAAAATTGTTAATAAATGGTCCTTAAAATTAATCGAAGAACAACTTAACAAAAAAGTCAATTTTTTGCAAGCAACGGAGTTACTGCGCCGGTGCGTTGTGTTGACGCACAGCACTGCGCCAACTCCAAATTTTCACTGAGTTACCCAGGCCTAGTATTAAACTACCGATTTGCTAGTGTTCTAGTGCATGGTATTTGCTTTCGTGTGTTCTGCATGTGTTTTTTTGTAATTATGTAGGAACTTGCACATGCGGAGCCGGTTTTACTGGACCCATCTGTGAAAATCGCTGCCACACAGGGTATTTTGGTGTAAATTGTGAGCAGGTGTGCCACTGCCAAGATGGCAACAATCTGGGCTGCGACCCAGTGACTGGTAAATGCAATTGCAAACCGGAGTGGAAAGGTACAGCAGTTGGTTTGATTTTTCTATTATCTGTAGTTATTGTGCCGATGCCGAATTTGCAGCCCAAAATGTGAATCGTTTTGAAATTACTCTTTCTGTAACAGGTGTGAGATGTGAAACACAATGTCCAGGGGGCAAATGGGGGATCGATTGTGGCCAGGACTGCCAGTGCAAGAACAACAGTTCCTGCGACCCTGAAACTGGGCACTGTTACTGCGCCAGAGGTTGGCAAGGGGAAGACTGCATGAACCCCTGTGACAAAGGATGGTACGGTATTGGTTGCAGGGAGAAGTGCCCAGAAATGTCCATTGGTAATGACACACTTCGATTGAATAGGTATTTAAAATGTTAATATTTCTTTCATCTTTAGGAAATCGAACTTGCGACCACATCACCGGAGAGTACGTTTGCCCGCCCGGTTATTTAGGTTTGACCTGTGACCATCCGTGTCCCATCAACACATACGGAAAGGGCTGCCTGCAGAATTGCTCTTGCAAAAATGGTGGAGACTGCCATCACGTTACTGGTAATTGTCCACTGGGTTTCAGACCTAATTGTGCGGTTTTTTTGGCTAACACTGTGTTGCTCAAATAAATTTTTGTTTTCCATAGGCGAATGTCAATGCCTGCCCGGATGGATTGGTCCCACCTGTGCTTCACCTTGTCAACCGGGTAGTTTTGGGATGAACTGCACCCAGCATTGCAAATGCCAGAACGGGGGCGAGTGCAGGAGGAATGACGGAGTGTGTCGTTGCAAATCAGGATGGACTGGGACTCAGTGCACTGAAAGTAAGTCAACATTCGATAATTCGTTTTGGCTTGAAACATATGGTGTTTTGTTGAAGTTTGCCCTGAAGGCTACTATGGAGACCATTGTATGCAGCCTTGCGAATGCAAAAACGACAACTTTATGTGTCATCCCGCTGAGGGCTGCATGTGCAAACACGGCTATTCTGGCGAAAATTGCGAAGAATCGAACATTCTTCAGCTGCTTAAGGAAAAAGAACCCGGTAACACCGGTGTTATCGTTGCTGTTATTATGGTGTCGGCAGTGTTTGTGGCCGTTGTTCTGCTGCTAATATTCTACTACAAGAGACGAGTTACCAATTTGAAGACGGAAATTGCTCATGTGCAATACATTGCTGATCCGTCCGGATTTTCGCCAGGTAAATCAGTCGCTTGTTCGAAATTCAGAGAAGGAAGAAGTGATGTTTTTTAGATCGAAATCATTTTGATAATCCCGTATACACGTATCAGGCACCGATCAAAAGAAGCAACGAAGTACTTCTCAACAACGGCAATAGGATTATTAATAACTTGCACAAACCAGGCAATGCAAATTTAGATCGCGCTAAGATTTCAATGGCCGCCTGTTGCTCCACGGATGACGAAGAATACGTTCCAAAGGGTAACTATAAATAACGATTATAATTAGTTGGTCGGAAGCTATGATTCGCATATATTGCTATGAGAGGATTATTTTACCTAGGGGCCTACGGTACCAATTTAGAAGAATTGCGAATGCTTAAAAACAGAGACGCGGATGCTACCAATCCCAACATTTACCACAGCGTGGACCATGTATACGACGAAATTAAGCAAAAGGACATCAAGGACATGGGTAACTAAACTATTTTTTTAAATTTCTGAACAGCGCCATTTCATTCGGGTATGTAGCGCTTACACCAACCAACTTATCAAACAATTTTGCCTTAGGTCTCATCAAATGGCAATAATATTCATGTAAGTTGGTCGTACGCAAGTAACTAATCAGTGTTTTCACAGTCAGTAGTGCTCCAGCACCTTATCCCAGAAATGTAACACGTTGCATGGAAGCTTTTTTTTGTCGCGCATTTTTCTATAAATATAAACTTCTATGATCTATACATTTACAGTCTTAAGTATTCGTTTATTTTTTTTCTGTTGTTTGACAAAAGCTTCGAAGATTTATTATGTGCCAACGTTTTGTGAAATCCTATTAGAAATTTGAAAATTCTGATTGGCGTCTCAGGTTTGTGAACCATCTGAGGTCTGAGAAAAGGGCCCGCAGAATTCACGGAAATATTTTGCATGGCCATAAAACTAAATGGTACATTTCAATGCTTATGAGAGAGCTGAGCTTTTTAAGTGACTGTAAACTGCAGAATATTTCACAAGTTTTTCGTTTTAGAATTGGAATATGATCATCTCGACTACACGAGGCCTGTAAGCACTTTGAAGCCACATTATCAACGAATGTCTTCACCTTTCGGCTCAAGAGATTTGGACAGAGGTTCCAGCAAATCTATCAACAAATCCGATACCGATGATTGATTTATATTTCGTCTTGAAGCAAAGCTTTTTTTGGAGACGAAGGTAAAAAATTATTTGTGCGTAAGTAAATATTAGCAAACAATAGGTACATTCTATGAAGGCTTTCACGGCCGGTCAGATTACATTTAGGAATGTTTTCCGGGCTTTGAAGCCGTGGTCTATCGGAATTTCTTCCTGACGTTTCGTC